TACACTTCTCATTCTCCAGTGTTGTCCTATACTCAAGGTTGTCCTATGGTCCTTTCGCAGGACCAAGTTGCCAAGATGTGTTGAGTAGCAAAGAAAACAATGTCCACATACACATGCATGCACCTATTATCGAGCACACAAACCACATGAATGTTCATCCTCTGTGGAGAGAAATCCTCTGATATAGATGGCTGTTTGAAGGAGTTCCATGAGGAAATAAAAAATATATTTCCTCATAGAACTCCTTCAAGCAGCTATATATATCAAATACATATACACACACATCTTTGCTTTTTGAGAAGCAGAGGGGAGGAAGAACAATGATGGCAGAGAAAGGACAAGCCTAACTAGAGAATTATGGGCAGTTGACATTCTTGACTAGGAAAAGAGCTATTAATATATTTTCATGATTTTTTTTTCAAAGGAGAACATTTCTTTACTGAGGGAAAAAAATCAAATAAATAGCAGAACTGTCATCCTAACAGGACATTAATATTCTACCAGGCCTGTCACTCAAGCAACATACCGGTAACTGTCCAAGTGAACATGCCAAAAATTTGGAAAGGAAAATGAAGTGTAACAACCTTGAAAATGGAACAAATAAAAGGCAATTCATGGTTGACAGTTACTTCTGCTGGCAGTTAATCAATAGAATCCATACCCCTATTAATACAACCAAGTGCCAAGCATCTGCTGGTGGAACATATCAACCGACCTAGTGCATAATGACTATATTCATTTTTAGTTAATTGTTTCCCAGTAATATTTCACCACCTGTTCCTCTCTCTGCTGCAAATAAGGAGGAGGGAAGAGGGCGAATCTATTAGGAGTAAAGGATGCTGTTCTCTTACATTTGAATTAGATGAGCATTCTCTCACTTGCATTTGCTAGGTCCAGCCTTAGGAGCAGCTTGCATATATGTGCTCCTAATTTGAGATATGTAGCATTAAAGGCTGATGATCTCCACGTTGGCTCTTTGAAAATGTCACACTACAAACAGAACTGCCATATCACATCAAGAATTTATCTGATCCATCACAATTAACAGGTTGGATCACATAAATGCTTCCTCCATGCCACAAATACCCAGCTGTTCTGAAAAAACAAGAGGATTGGTTGGTATTCTTTGGCTACCCTTAGTTGCCTTTCTGTAAGCTACTTAGATTTCTAGTTGCCTGATTTGTATTTATAACCAGACACATAAGTATGATATGCATGCATATTAATTATACACACAAGAAAGCTCCTTTCGATCTTGTTTCTTGGTTGTTGGTTCTCTTCCCTCTAGAGATCATTGGATAATCTAATATGTCCACATGTTGTGAGATCTATAGATGGTGTCAGCAGCATCAGCTCCTGCTGTCTCTGGAATCCCCAGGCTCCTGTTTGTGACAATGCTTAGCATTCCCATCTGCTGTCCTAACCTCTCATTGCATATAAAAAAAAGCGAGCAAGGACTGGAGAATTCAGGGACTTAAAAATGCTAAGACAACACACATTACCATGTTGCTTAAGTAAAGCTAAACACCATAAAGTCAAGATGGGAGACATGTACCTCATCACATGTGGTTGGACTGCAACTCCTATGATCCCTCACACATGATTATATTACTTAGACTGGATGGAACCTGAAATCCCACAACATCTGAAGGGGTACAGGTTTCCATTTCCCTATCTTAGACTTTCCTGCATAAGCTCTCCCTACTCTCAGGAAAGTTCCTGGTATAACAGTCCACTGTCCCATGTATTACTTATTCTGTTGCTCCATTGCTTCTGATGAGATCTAGAACATTTCCCCAGACCTGGACATCCCTCATTAGCCAATCCCCGACTATTGTGGTTTCTAAATGGTGTCTATGAGACCTGCAATCCAAACCATCTGGAGGGCATGATGAAAATAAGTGCACAGAAATTTCACCACCTATGAGCCACAATTTAGCTTCCTAGTTAATAGGCTAGCCTAGCCCCAGCAAAGTCCTCTAGTGTGCTGCTGGAGTCCTGGACACAACGATTCTCAAGAGAGCTGGCTTATGCAGCAAACCACCAGTACCTGAATGTAGAAAAAACTTGCCATTTGTATTTGATGTAGAAGGCCTGTTATGCAAAGTCCCACTCAATTATTTTGGTTAATGAGCCACCATAAGGTTTATTCCAGAATGTCCCTCTTTTATAATCCCTTACTGTGATCTCAAGTTCACCCCTACCTTGTCAGGAACCCAAGTAAGCTTTGATCCCAACCCTCTAGCTGTTGTTCCCTTGTCTTGTCTACATCAAGACGCAAAGCAATCCTACTTCCTTTTCCTCACTCTTGCCTTTTTTACACAAGAAGTCCCCACACCTTTGCAAAAAAAACCCCCAGGTCAATTAAAAGCCTGGTGGGGAGAGGAAAGTCAGCTTCACCTATCCACTGTTGTCCCAGATTTAGTGATAGGAGTGGCCTGGCTACTAGCAGCACTGTTTCCTGGAGCCTCTATAAAGTTTTATGATGGATTTGGTGTGTTGGAAGTCATAAATCTCCATGCTGCATGATTCAGAATAATTAATTTAATAAGTGTGTTGTGTGAAGAAAGTGAATAAAAGGGAGATGTGAATGATCAGTGAAGCATGTAAGATTGAACGGAAAAACAAAAACACCAGCCAGACGCTGAATATTAAAACCTGGAAGGGAATTTTCTTTGTCTGATGGTGTTTGGGTTGGCAAACACACATAATCTTCTTTAAGTACTGCAGCAGAGCTCTTCAGCTTCAGGGACCTGCTCTTTAAGCATCAGCCTGGGGAGCTAGAAGTCTATTTTGACATAGCCTGCCCCTGTCAGGAATGCTTAAGCTAAATAAACAACAGCAACAGCAAACACACACACACACACACACACACACAATTATTGTAATAATCGGAGAGGTATGGATCACTTGCACTCAAATGGAGTGAAGAAATAAAATTACTCACTGAAAAATTCTGAAAGAGACAGATTGGTGACAATCTCTTACAGTACTTTTATCACAATGCATGAGACTTATCAATGTAATAAAATGTTTGCATCAAAAGCCAGGTGTGTATATATTCTTGCTGCATCTGACTTATGGTGACCCTAAAATGGTTTTCAAGTTAAATGAGCCATTGAAAGAATGGTTTTACCAGTGTCACCCACCAATGAGTTTCCATGGTTTAACAGGCTTTCGAAGCAAGGTCTCCTGCATCCTAGTCCACCACGCTCTGTCCATCACACCATGCCTACTAGTTCTACATTTATTTTGCTACATTTCAATTTGGTAGGACCATCAGTAGGTAGATAAAATTGCTTCCTAATGGACCAGTGTACACAATATAACCATCAAGTTCACAGCAGGTGAGGGACACATGCCTCCTGAAACAGGGCAGGGCAACATGTGACTTGCAGATGGACTCCATATCTCAGCATCTCTGACTACTGGCCATGCTAACTAGGGCTGACGGGAGTTGAAGTCTACCAATATGCACAAGGGACACAAGCTGCCTATCACTGGACTGCAACAATCTGAACTTACTCCAGACAGGTTGCCCTTTTCGTGCCTTGTGCTTTAGTTGTGTTGGCCAAGGAATGATGAGGGTTTCATGTTGGCTTGGGTATAAAGATGAAGCTTCTTTTGTTAAATCTATTTCTCCCTTTTTAATAAAAAGAACAAGTGGTCAGAATTCTTTTTATGCAGGAACATTTGTGACTCTCTCACACAAAGAAATGTACCGTTAAAATAGAATATCACTCACTCACACAAATGCATCTAGCTAAGTCTAGAAAACAACTGCCATTTGAAACTTTGAGCAACTGCTACCAAATATTCTTTAAAAAAACTTTTCAGTGGGACCCACAAAAGGGACATAAAAACGCTCTTTCGGAGGCTGGGTGTGGCCTACAGTCTAACAAAGCATCTTTACTGATTTAATGCAATCCAATGATCAAGTTTATAGTTCAAGGACAAAAGAAAGTAACAGGTTATGGTTGTGGCCATGGCTAGCCTTCCCAGGACTATCCTTCCAAATGGAAGGCAGCCATGCCAGACACTAGAAGCAACATCTTCCTACTTCCAGCTCTGTGCTTAACTGAAAAACAGTCAGAATGTGCACAAGGACCTATGCTCTGTCATTTGGAATTGAAAGTAATATTTTTTCATCTTTTTTCAGATAAAAAAAAAAGCATTGTCCATAGCTACTGAGTCATTCCCATTCAAGCTACTGGAGTTCTGTTTTTATCCTATAATACACATGTGCTACACATACTCATACTGTATTAAATATTTATCTGAACCACAGAAAATATGTAATTAGTTACAGTCGTGCTCCAAACGCATCTGATGACCACATTAGAAAGGTATCTGGATTTTCCGAAAAATCGTACAAAGAAACTGCTAGGAACGCAGTCATCATAGAAAAGGTAAAATCTGTTTTTCCATCCAATGTTCTGCTCAGGTGTTCCTCTACTGTCACCCCTCTCACATGTAACCAATCCCCTTTGCACATTGAGGGGGAAGAAGCACCAATGGTCTCCTGTCCAAAGTCCCAAACTTAAATGAGCCTTCTATACAACAGTGAGCATCACTAACTAATTCTACCCATCATTAAATGAACCTTTTCTATTAAATGCCTGGTCTGGTGTGATCAAATTTCCTTTCTGGCTTGAATCAAAATGTCTCAACAGGCTTCAGCTTGCAAATGAATCCAGTTTGTTCTTTTTTTACCCTTCAATCATAAATATATCTTCTGTATTCTGGGCAAACCTTCTTAGGAAGGATCGTTTTTTATCCATGCACGAGATAACTTGTTTTATTCTGCAAGTTTTAGTGATAGGTTATCTCAAACTTCAAAGCCTCAAGCTTCGAAGAAAAGGCCTAATCCACTGCAGTTTCTACTCATTTATGACCAAAACATATCCTGGTAGGCATTTTTTCTCCCTTGTTCCCATCCCCTACAATGGTGGTTTCCCAATGCAGTTGTTATTAATGCTTTGCAAAATATATATACTTACCGGCAGTGTTTGTGGGAGCCTGTTAGGGTTTCAATGACAAAGCATTCCCCATCATTGAGACAGTATGCAAGATCCTTATCTTTGCATGGCTTAAAGTGCTCAGATTGCTCAGTGGAGTATGTTGTGGTATCTAAAAAGAAAGTAACAGTGGAGAGAAAATATGGTCAGAATAGAAAAATATGGATAAAACACATCTTCCTCCATGCAGGTTGCCAACTGTAGGTTTCAAACCATACACAGATGATTATGCCTGGGAAATCAGATGCAGGTAATAATCTACAGTGGGAATAAGGAGCAGGTCCAACATGTAATTTCAGAGAGCCAAGGTAAAACCAGGAAATAATCTGGCACTTAAATGTGTGGTGTTTACTGGAAGATCAAATTTGCTGTCTTGAGCTACAAGATGGTAAATCTGCTTTGCACACGGCTTTGCACATTGCTTTGCACACTGAAGGTCTACAATCCAATCCCAGGCATCCCCACCCAGGGATAAGGAAGTCTCTTGCTTGAGACTCTGAAGATTTGCTGTTAGCCAGTGTGGATGATACTGACTGAGTCAATAAAATGTTGGCTGGAAGCAACTCTAAACTCCAATTTTATATGGAAAAACTCCCCCCTCCCCAATTCAATCCACTTTAGAGTTTGAACACTCTTACACAGCCTGTGTCCTATATTCCATAATTTATGGGTATTGCACAATGACAGCAAGAGATAATTGATGTGAGTATTGTACAACGACAGCACCAGAGACCTCAGTAATTACTGTAAGCAATATACTGGGCTCCACATTAGACTTGTAATCCAAGACAGAGTAGTAATCTTTCTAAGTAGTATCTCAATGCTTAGAGAACATTTAACTGTCACTCTTGGAGCACTTCCACTGCTCACTTTACTTTTTCCCATAACGAACGCGAATCCTTTGCAAAGTGCATCACATCTAGGAGAGGTTAATTGAAATGTTGAGCCTGAGGGAATGGATTATTGCGATGACACACTGATGACCTGGTAAGCTTGGGGCTCTCAAAGTGGGAAAGAAGTCAAAACTTATTTCTCTAGAGTTTCTTCTTTGTTGTGCTCATTGTAGCTACAAGACAAAAGGGGTTTTACATGATGCAATTCCTTTTTTGTTTCATAAGGCTATGCTGTTTCCTTGTTGCGGTGTCATTAAATTTTGAAAAGAAGTGTTCAGGACATGGCGTTTTATAGAGAAGCATAGGCAAGACATTTGTGACTCTGAATTAACAGGAAAAAGAGAGAAAAAAAGAGAGAGAAGTAAATTCAGCAGAACATACTTTAGCTCTTCAAAACAGGTCTCCTTCAAGGGGATTGTTGTAAAATGGCCTCTAGAACATGACAAATTTCTCATTCTACTGGTTGAAATCCTGTTGCTTAGTACTGTATAGTAAGTCACACTAAAGTAGGCCCGTTGAAGCAGAGGGGATTTGGTGAGTCAACTCCTCCATAAATTCCGTTGATTGAAATGTGTGCACTCTAGCTGCAGCTTATTACACTAAAGTAAGTAACAAATACAGTTAGACCCATTTGAGTCAAAGGAAGTTACAGAGGAATTGACTCACCAAATCTCCACTGATTCAATGGGCCTACTTTAGTGTGACTTACTATACTAAGCAACAGGATTTCAGCCAATGGGTTCTACAAGCAAAAGGTTCATAATTGAATATATCAACCTGTTATATGATTTGTCTAACAGATCACTATTTGCTGCTTGTAGTAACTCCCACGTCAGTCCGAAAAGGCCTAAATAGTAATTTGTTTCTTTGAGTCAAACAAATGTTGCAGGTGAAATTGTGTGACACAAGACGTTATTTCCTTAATGAGAAAACATCATGGATTAGTTATGGAGAATAAGGTTGAAGGCACATGAGCACACTTTGATTTTTAATAAAGTGTTTTGGGCACCATCAGAAAATGGCGGGGTATTTCACTGCCAGGGGAGGGAACCTCTCACAAATGGCTGCTACTATGGAGGAAGTCAATCATAAAACCACTTTCACAGAAAAGGAGCCTAGTGAAGCAAAAAAATATGGTTAAATTGGCCAGGAGCCAGTATACAAGATGGATGAGATCTGGATACAAAGTCACTCATTTGAAATTACATCTTTCTGTTTCAACCAATTACTCATATCACAGAAATTAAGTTCCCTAAATTTTCATCAGATTTATTTCCCCAAAAGGAAGATTAATTCTCTCAAAACCACACACAATAACTGTTTCCTGTCTTACAGAGCGTTCTACATACGTCATCCCCTCATTCAAGATCACTCAGAATATCCTGTGGTTCAAATCCTGCTTTGTGGTGCATTCAGGTTTACAAAGCAACTAAAAGGAAACTATGCTAGTTGTTTTTGAGAAGCAAGAAAGTAAAGACTCGCTTTAAAAAGAAAAGTAACTTTTTTCAGGCCTTCGAAATATTCTAATTACTTCTGAAAAAGAACTTTCTGTGCTCTGGAAAGCACCTGCCATGATAATCTAATTCGAAGTAGCCAATTTCAGTAAATGGGGTGGATGAATTTATCAGAAAGGCCATCTGAAAATGATATCCTCAGCCCTTTCTCATTGTTCTCACAATTTTTGTGGCATAAAAGCTCTGTCACATAAGCCTGACTGACAGCTACCCTGGATCATCATTCTCTATTAAGTCAAGGCCATTCTGTAAGTCATGATAACCCCTAATTTCCTTTTACCCATTTACTATGAATTTCAACGCCTAGCTAAATGGCAGGAAGTTGCATTCTAATTTTTTATCAGCACTTTTAAACTGTTGCACACTCAACATGCAATACAATGACAATCAAATTCTACTCAATTAATTTCAACTGACAGCCATTCCCTGGTGGATATGGCACCACATTACTAAGGGGCGGGGGTGGGGGAATCTTACTTCTGGAAATGTTAAATTACAGTAATTTCCGGAGCACTGCTCTCTCTACAGAAGGGCAATATATGCCCAATCCCCTAGCAGTCCTTCAACCATAATGAGGTGCTTTCATTTCCCCACTCCACACAATAAATTTGCCAACCACTGGAGGTTTGCCAAAATGGAACATTTCAAACTAAGGGGGGGGGAATCACAAACTGTCAGCACAGTGTGGCAGAATATATTTCACAGAGTGGGAAATCGGCAGAATATTAGGTGTACTGGCAGTTGACTTTTTGAAAGCTTCTTTCTTTATCTCCATGTTTGACTGACCTTAAAACATATATCTTGGTGCTAACTCGGGTCGAAGCAGGCTTTGTCAGTTTTTTGAGACTCACCCATAAAAAAGGAGGCAAGGGGTGAATAGCTCAGTGGTCTGAGCATCTGGCTGCAGAGCCAGAGGTTGGGAGTTTGATCCCCCACATTTCCTCTTGGACAGGGGGCAGGACTCAATGATCCATATAGTCCCTTACAGCTCTGCCCTTCTAAGATGATGATGGTGATGATGATATTCCTTCTTTCAAACTGCCTCAAGTTAGCCAAAACAAGAGAAACCTCCAATTATCTGCTGCCAGTTTGTAACATTTCCCTTTACTCACATTACATTAGCATTTAATTAGTGCTTAATACACATACAGGAAACAAAATGAGCAACAACCAGTCCAGAACAGTGAAGGACAATGGAAAATTCTTTGGCAGACTCCTGAAGACTTTTAATTCATGTTCCTAATATGGCACATAATCTGGAAATGGTATATTAGATACCATGTGAAGAAGATTAAGCATTCCCTAGGTTACTTTATGGTCAACACTTATCCAGGATTTTGCCTTTATTTAGGATGTAATCAGCGTCTCTTAGGAGGATGCAGTGAGAATAAGTAAATCATTACAGCAATCAGCAATAGACATGTTTGTCCTTGAGACAAATTTCAAAAGCCACAGCAGGTTCACAGCAAACAAGTGTCATCTGGCTGATGACAAACTTTCCAACACCTTTAGCGTGTGAGAACGAATGTGACAACCATCCCACAGACTAAATGCCAGGCACATCTTCATTACTCAGCCCATGAATAATACACGTTTATATCATTTTCACTTTGATATGAAACACACATTAAAGCGAAACAAGTTTATGCCAACAGTGATGTGGCATGCATGCTGTAAATAGCAAATGAAAGAATGGCTTAGAAATACAGCTAGATATCACTTCACAAGACAAACAACGCTGTGTTTACCAAAAAGAAATACAAATATATCAGCCTGTCACAGAATACAAATGAGAACATTTTGAGTAGCTGCAAAACTTGGCAGGCTCCTCTTATACATGCATCTCTCTGCATTGCTCTTAATCAAGATGAGAGTTTTACCAAGGTAGGGGCACTGCAGGTCCACAGAACAGAATGCAGATGTGACATTGTACCAAAAACCAGAAAAATATCATTTATGCAGAAACATAGGAAGAGAAAGCAGCCTTAACACTGAGTCTGGCCCTGGGTCTATATAGGCCTAGGCTGTGAATTCTGATTGGCAGCAATGGCTCTCCAGGGAGGTTTCTTTCTTAGCCCCACTTGGGGATCCAATGTACTTGGGTGGTAAGGGGTTCAATACTGGACTGGTGGAAGGTAGTCTGGGAGTGCAAATGGTCCATTGGTTAGGGGGTGCAATACCTGCCTTGCCCTGGCTGCTGGCAATCCATGATACACCACTGTGCAGCCCTATGGATAAAAACTGTACCAATTCCAGGCTCATACAATTCCTGAATGCTTACTGCATACGTAGGCAGCCTCCAACACACTAGAATCCCATTCTAAAGTATCTCATACCTAATCAACCTAATACAGATCAGGCAAAGATTTCTTAAAACCAAAGGCTCCACTTCAATCTTCAGAGACTGAAGAAAAAGTGTTCTCATTAATATATATTTATATTTTGTGTGTGTTATGTATATATATATATTTATATATATACACATTAAACTGAAAGATGAGGGGAGAGGAAGAACCCAAACAATTTATTCTTAAGAGCAAATATTGTGTTGAATATACATTTCTTAACATTTATATCAACGCAGAACAATTCTGTCTTTTTGTTTCACAAAGATTCATTCCTTTTGCATACTAAATCATTGGCTACAATCCTGTTTCTTAATGTAAGCCCTCTGAATCACTGAGAATCAGGTGAGTCAGCTCTTCCATAAATTCAATTGATTCAAATGGGCCTACTCTAGTTGCAATTTATTACACTAATTAACAAGACTTTAGCCTGTGCTGCAAACTATAATCCTGTCTTGTTGGTCTCTTGTCAGGTGTTTCTTTTTAAAATAGATGTTGTCTTTGCAATACAGACCATAAACTTCCATTTTTCTTCATACAGTATTTTTGAGCTAACAATAACTTCTTCCTGTGTTCATGCATCACAGCCACCTATTAAAACATGACCTAAGCAGTCAAAGGTTTTGCCATGATCATTAAAGCACAAACTGATTTTTGTCTGAAATCCTTCAGTATGCTTCAGTAGCCAACACATACCGTATTTTGCCATGTATACAATGATACTTTTGTTTAAAATCTTTAGATTAAAATTTGAGGGTTGTCTTATACACAGAAGTAAGGAGGGGGGAAGGGATCAAAGCACTTTGATGATTCCTGCTTTCCCCCTCCACTTTCTTATGAAGAAAGTGATTTCACCCTCTACTTTCTTCACAAGAAAGTAGAGGGGAAAAGCAGGGATCAAAGCGCTTTGGATTCATTCTCCTTTGAATCCACAGATCTCTTCTCTGTCCCTTTTTGTCATTCTCTTATACTTTGCAATTATTTTTAATGAAAATCTTTTAAGCAATATTTTAGAAAATGAACCCATTGATTTCTTATTATTTTAGGATCCTCCAAAATAATTTTGAAGCATTCAGCTGGGGGGAGTTTTGTTGCTTTGTGTGGATTTTGTTTTGTTTTTGCTTGAAATTATGCTTTCTAGGCCTCTTCCAGTCACAAAGCTTAAGGCAATGTCTTGTTCTGCTGATCCGGGTGTATGTCAGTTTGCTGCTATGTCCAACTTGAGTCAAAAGTGTAGACATCTTTTGGGGGGAGTCAGGGGATGGTCTCCTAGTATTATTTTTACTATGTGTTTAGTTTATCTTGTCAGAATTGGCAGATACTTGCAACTTTTAAATTCAGGTTGAAGGAATTTTTAAAAAGGAATACATCTTGAAACATTGCCTTGCAAAATGTAGTAAACAAATATTTTATAGCCCTTTACTGAGGCTCCAGTACTTTGGCCATCTAATGAGAAGAAAAGACTCCCTGGAAAAGACCCTGATGTTGGGAAAGTGTGATGGCAAGAGGAGAAGGGGACGACCGAGGATGAGATGGCTGGACAGTGTCTGCGAAGCAACCAACATGAACCTGACACAACTCCGGGAGGCAGTAGAAGACAGGAGGGCCTGGCGTGCTCTGGTCCATGGGGTCACGAAGAGTCGGACACGACTAAACGACTAAACACACACACACATGAATGATGGGACTGGATGGCTGCCATATTTCCCTCTCAGTATTAATAACCCCAGTATTTTATCATAAATACAGCTGTCATAATTACCTGTGGACATTCATTTCCATTCACCCTCACACATTCAACAGTTCACTGCCATCATTCTCCGCAACAAGATCTGTTTACAGATCCATAAATTATTTTAAAGAAATATTAATTCAGCTGGCTACTTGGGCCACTAAGAGAGAGAGGATGAACATATTGGGGTTAGAGCAAGTACAAGCTTTAAGCCAGAAAGACAAAGTTTAAGCTGAAGGGCCACAGTGGTTGTAGACAGATATGTGGCATGCCAGTAGGGCAGGGCAAATCTCCAATTGGATACTGGTGGTATGTGGTCTATGACATGATTGTCCACATTCTATTCATACACACACTCCGTCACACACGTATTCAGGCCACTCACAACATAACCTGCCCTTACCTCTCTTTCTATCTGTAATATTTTTAGCCCTTTAAGAGAGACCTCAAGAGATTAAGAAAGAGAGAGAGAAGAACCTCAAGGCATGGCAATCCTAGTGATGTGATCATAGTCAAACAAGGATGGCTGATGGGGTTAAGATTGAGGAATACCTGCTCGGACTGTCAGACACTGAAAATAAATTCAAGAGGAAATAACATAAATAACATTAAAATAGACTCCAGCAACGTTCCAAAAACATTGGTAGACATGGCAACCTGAAGAGAAGGAGGGAAATTCACAGCACAAATCCATGTTTGCCTTCTCAGAGGTAAGCCCCGTTTACTTCTTCGGGCAAGAGTAGTCGACATGCTCACCCCATCCGAATACAACTATAAAAAGTGTGTCAGCTATCTTTCCTCATAAACCCATATGTATGTATGTATGTATGTATGTATGTATGTATGTATGTATGTATGTATGAACAAACAAATGAATGATAGCAGTATGTCCTTATGTGTGATATGCGCCTGTGCGCTAGCCTCATCCACAAACCCAAACCTCTAAGCAGCCCTTGACCTGAATTTGTCTACTTCTGATGTATCGGATTACAGCCTCAGTCATGTACAATGCAGCCTTATACTGGATAGCATAAATAGCAGGAATAATTAATGAATAGTTATGTATGCAAAGGAATGTTCTAGAAGCATTTAGCTGCAAGTACAGTAAATCTATTTGTTGCCAAAGACTTATTAACAGCTTATTTCCCTAATAATGTTGCTCCCTTATTCCAGATAGCTAAAAAAGGAGGTCAAGGTATATACGTCAAAGAAAGGAAAGGTGGAGATAAATAATGCAATGTTAACCTTCAACCAATTCCATCTTGCAAGGCAGAATTCTAAAAAAAAATTATTATTCACTATGACATCTACCATTTTGACATAATAATGGTGTAGGAATATGCAATCCTGCTAGGAATGTTTTACATTATTCTGAGAATCCCTTCATATAAAGAACTCCATACATCATTAATTTTATCCTTTTGTTGTTGTTTAGTCGATTAGTCGTGTCCGACTCTTCGTGACCCCATGGACCAGAACATGCCAGGCCCTCCTGTCTTCCACTGCCTCCCAGGTGTACATAAAAGGAAAGGCATGGGGGGGAGGGAAGCCACCTCATTTTCAGTCTGTTACTCTTTTCACTGGCTGTTGGAACTTTTACTTCAGAATCTCAAAAGGGAGGCCAGAATGTAGTGAAGATTCTATACCACCACCTTGAAAACTTTTTAAAAATAAAAATGTACCATAACTCACACTGATATGTTTGCCCCATCACAAGCAACACTTCATGGATGGATTACAATAATGTTCCTCTTTCAGTTACCAGGGGCTAAAATAGTTGTGGACCTGATTCATTACACGTGCCTTCCCCATTTACAAATTAAAAAGGGATGGGGCGTACTGAACTCTCCTCTCTTTCAAAGCTTAGCTGTCCAAAAAAGTCTGGTGCTCAGCTGAGATTGTGGACTGCACAGAAGACAGAGCACCAGGAAATAACCTACACACAGAGAGGTGCAAACTAGGGATGTATGAAAAATTCTCTCTGCTGAGAAATTTTTAGTTTTAGATGGATTTATCCAATTCCACACACTCCACGCTGAGCCAGAAATGAGGAAATTTGTAGTCGGAAATTCATGAACGTCTGGTTTTACTCAGAATACCATGACAGCAGAAACAATGTGTTTTGAGTTGGAAAAAATACACGCAAAAACATTGCAGCCATTTCTAAAATGTGCCCAAACATGCTTTAGCATGGGGAGGGGGTACAACCATGAATAAGCCTATATGAAGAACATGCACAAATTACAAATATTTTATCCCCCAGAGGGAAAAATCTACATGGAATTAGCACAAAATGGGCTTGGAGGTAGGAAAAGGGGGATGTTTACAGAAACAGACCCAGTGTTTGCCCACACCTAGACAATTTTTTGTTGTTGTTGTTGTTGTTGTTGTTGTTGTTGTTGTTGTTGTTGTTGTTGTTGTTCTTTCTGTCAGTCCCCAACTCCATGGTTGTTGTTGTTGTTGTTGTTGTTTCTGTCAGTCCCCAACTCCATACTTTACATCAGCTATTCTCAACCTTTTTTTTGGACACAGCCATAAACACAATATGGGAAAAATGTAGGCCAAATCAGGATTGTATATATTGCATAATGAAACTTATAAGGTGCTATGTGAAGAACTGTTTCAAGTCTGTAGCCTCCTTCAAATGGGTCAGCCCCCCCCCCCGTAAGGGATTATATGGCCCCCAACTGAGAATAGCTGCTTTACATGACAGTAGCAGCTATCTGTTTAAAGAGAATGGATCTAAAGCCACCACGTCTAGATTGAACCTAAAAGGGATCAGTTATCAGAAACTGCACACTAATGTAATACTGCTTTGTAATTTTATCTAGCACAGGTCTTGTCATGCATTCTTTTCCCAGAAGCTCTCCCATAACACCCAGCAGCATGTTACTAAATCCCTCTAAGAGCCTCAGGGCACAGTGGTTAAACCGCTGTACTGCAGCCAAAACTGTGCTCATGACCTGGGGTTCAAACTTAGGTAGCCGGCTCAAGGTTGACTCAGCCTTCTATCCTTCCGAGGTCGGTAAAATGAGTACCCAGCTTGCTGCAGGGGGGGGGGGAATGTGTAGCCTGCATAACTAACTTGCAAACCACCCAGAGAGAGCTTGAAGCGTTATGGGGCAGTATATAAGCAGCACACTTTGTTTTTAAATCCCTCTAGAATTGTGTCATGGAATTTCTGTAGGCCACAGCAACATACCTTCTAATTTTCAGCCCATCTGGGCTCTGCCTCTTAGATGTGCAACTTGGCCACGCCCGCCCGCCCGCCTGCAGGATTCCATCACAACCAGAAAGAATCAAAGGGGCTGGGTGGAGGGAGCAGAGTAACATGTGCACACAGAGTCACACATGCGCACATAGTCGCGCATCTTAGAGGGAACCTTGGGCCACAGTAATTCCAAACTCTACTGAAATTCATACAGATAAAGATGATCTGTCTGCAGAATAGAACCAGGTGAAGATGTAAACCCTGCATCTATGAATAACCTCACAGATTATTTTTTCTCTTGACAATCAGGCAAACCAATAGACTTGCATAATGTAGAATCACATTACATTCTGCAGTTTCAAACGAACCATCATGGAATGAGGTTAAGTTCATGCCTGGAATGGCAGCATGAAGAACAAAATCATAACAGACCTAGAGGTTTCTGAATATAAAAACTGTATCATAGCATTGTGCAGACTATCTTCTGCTCCAGTACTGTCATTCTTCTTCAAGTGAGTGAAGCAAAATTAAAGCGAAATTTTACCTCCAGCTTCCTTTTACTATAGGTTCTTAAAGTAACTTTCCTATCAGTGCAAAGCTAGAAATTGAAGTTTTCCAGATAACCACCCAAACCCACAATCACCCTGACATAGTATTGTCAGATGACCTTTGTTCAGGTGACACATTTCCCCCAGATAAATGGTATGACAGATAAGAGCAGTGGTTCCCAACCTTGGGTTCTGAGACAGTTTTGGACTGCAACTCCCAGAATTCTTGTCCAGAACAGCTAGTGGTGAAAGCTTTCGGGAATTTTAATCCAAGAACATATGGGGACTCAAGGTTGGAATCCCCTGTATTAGAGAATCCCTACCACATATCTACAGAAAGAGAAGTTCTGCTGGAGTGGTAGTCTTTAGTTCCATAGACTCCACTGACAACTGGACCAAATGAAGAGTCATCAGTATTGAATTCCCTCCTCAGCTTCACAAGCCAAGACATATAAGAACCAAAAGGAATGAAATAACTGTTGTAGCTTTAAAAGATCACTTCCCCCCTTGCCCACCCACATTGGCAGATCTATTGCTCAAATACATAAGGATGGCTCTTGCCCAGAGAGACCAGCATATCAATTTGGGATTAGTTGCAGGAAACCAAAAGAACAAAAGTCTACCCCAAAGCAACTTGAGTTCAGTCAACCATATTTTTGGCCTAGGGCTGAGAAAGCCCAGGTCGTATAAAACTTTAATATTATCATATAAGTTTTATACTACCAGGGCTTTCTCAGCCCTAGTTCGTTTTTGGATGGAAAAGACACAACTTTATTGGCCACAGTGACATCTTTTCTGGTCCAGCATTGGAAATTGATCCAGTGCATCAAGAGACCCGAATGCCTCTTGATGCTCATCAGCAATTTACTAAGGGCCAACACCAGGGACGACAGTCCTTTGGAGGCCACACAGGCATAGGCTACTCCAAGGCTCCCTGCGACCTGGGGACAGAGCCGAGCCTTCAGTCTCCAAGTTAAGCCAGACCATACCTCATGCCCAGCTCCACTTAAGGGAGCTGGGCATGAGGGAGCTGGGCATGAGACCATACCTCATGCCCAGCTCCACTTTATACCTGGGGTGACTGATTCCTGCCTGACAGCCAACACCACCTGGATCTATATAAATGCCACAACCACTCACAAAGTTGTGTCAAATGAATTAAAAACATTACCCCATTACAATCACCCCCCAGCCTTCACTGCTAGAATAACAACTTAATAAGTATTAACAACAAGGAAGGAAGGAAGTAAGGAAGGAAGGAAGGAAGGAAGGAAGGAAGGAGGGAAGACCAGCAATCTATGCACTGGTTTGGGTCCACTTATATGTGGAGGAGACAGACTAGAATGGAAACTGTTCCACTCTTGTCCACCTGCCTGGGGCAAATTTACAAATCTGTGGCTAGCCAATGGGAAGATGCCAACATTGTCAGCGCCCTCCCATCCTCCATTGCGCCTGCAGCCCATGTGGAGCTATGGCATCAATGCTATTGCCTACTAGTTCTTCTGCACAAACCAGGCTGTCGCCCCAGCCACAAATGGGTGGCCCAATAAGTTGGTTTCTCCCATCTTGTAAATGCATATGTATAGGATTAAAGTCCAAGCAACTTCTAGTATGCAATATGTAGCAGTTCTTTTTTGTGATTACCCTGAATTATAAGCATGCCTTATTAATGAAAAGAAAGATTTTCCTAAGGTGTGTCTGCAGGGGTTGAAGGGAGTGGGAATTAGGTGGTAGAGTGGGGTGGAATTAGGGAGGATCACTTGAAAGAGATGACTAGCACAACTGGGACAACGGCAGGCTAGCTCTTTTTCACATGAAGTGCCAACCAGTGTTCCTGCAAGTGTGTGTGTGTGTGTGTGTGTGTGTGTGTGTGTTTGTGTGTCTTCTCACTGTTCATATAAAGTAGGACAGCCCACTCCACTAACTCAATCTGTTGAAGTGCAGATTTTGCCAGGAAATTGAGGAGGGGAGTGGGGGTGTGTGACTTATCTAGGGAAAGTAGAATTTTGTTAATAGAACTATGCTTCATTTTTAGGCACGTTTTGATGTTTCCAAGACAACTTCTTAAGGAAATAATTTTGCAATATCGCATGGAAACGGAAGCTGACAGCACAGCTTGCCAGATGCTACTACATTATTGACAATATATCTGCAACCTTCAAAATAAATCCTGTTCACAGACTACTCAGTCTACAAACACCATTTCCATTGGCAAGCAATTAAATCTGACTTCAGACATTTCTGGTAACATATCTCTATGGCTACACTTATTCCTCTCTTGTTTACAGTAGAAGTGGATCCATAAACTTTAGTACTCAGAGCATCAAATAATAATCCAATAATTATGTGGATGCCACTGACAAGGAGTTGCATTGTCAATATATATTTCTTGGAACAGTTCTCTCTCTTTTTAGGCTGCTTACTACAGCCATCTAAGCTATGCAAATACCAACATCATCATGAATATTTAACAGAGTAATGTTCTACAGAAATAAAAAACACAGCCTT